GGAGATAGAGTAGGTGAGGTGAGATGTATGAGATAATATGAGATGAGTGAAACAAGAGGATAAAATATGAGATGGAAAAATTATTTGAAAAGATGAGATAAAAGATACTGTTACATAATATAAGACAATATGATGTGGGATGATACAAGATTATTAATACGAGATGAAATAATACAAAATGATACAATATTTTATGATATGATATGAGATGAGATGATGAAAAAAAGACATGAAATGATATGAACTAAAACGATAAGAATGATATAAGATGGTATAAGATAGCATAAAATGAATACATAATCAAATGAAATGATTCACCATATAGTTTGTTTTTTCCCGCACCCCCATTAACACAATTTATATACATTTTCATTTCATGCAAATTATGTATCTGATCTCATCCGGTATCTTTTTAACCCTTTTGAAGCAGCTCACCTCCTAAACAAACTGTAGTGTGCTGATGGGTGTGTAAATAATTTCGTCACAGTCACAACACAATTGCCAAAGTTGCTTTATGCCGGTGGTTGGCAGGAGCTCTGGTGTAGTTTGCTCCTTCTTTCCTATCAAACATCAGTTGTCCTTATAATCTCCCCTCCTTCTTTTTTATGTTTGTAACTCTTTTGTAACACCTCTGAGATTTTCCACACTTATATGACCTTATTGTGTTGCTGAAGAAAAATACTTAACTAAATCAACCTTATAACTTGAGCAAAAGTGAAACTGCAAATGTCTCCATAATTGTATGGTTTGGTATACGAAAAAAAGCCCCAATCTATATGGAAGATACTTAAACAAATAACTGGCATTCTTTACAAAACTTGGGAAAAAAAAAAAGACTGAGACAATCATGTTAAGACCGTGAATATTTTTGGGGGCTCCAGTGGAGAAGGGAGTAGTGAGTTCAGACTCAAAGGTAATGTCAAGCAAGTATCGGTGACACAGGATTTAGATGGGGATCGCTGGGGTGAGTCCTTGAACAAGACACGACAACCCTGGCTTAAAAGTACAGGGCGCTGCACAGTGGTGACCAGCAATGGCATGTTTGTGAAATTGTTCTGTATTAGCGTTATATTGTGTATTTACACATGTATTTATGTACGTACTTATAATTATGTATTTATGTAAGTATTTATAATTATCTGTTTATGTATGTATGGTTACCATTGTAACACAAATTTCCCCATGAGGATCAATAAAAATGTAATATTATTGTATTATTATCATCCCAGTAAATTATGAGAAACAAAGTCCGCCCCCCAGACACACACCTGTAGCCATTGAGGTAAGCACTGCCTGAGGAGGGTTCAAGGTCACCGGTCAGCATCTTGAAGGTCGTGGTCTTGCCGGCCCCGTTGACTCCCAGCAGGCCGAAGCACTCACCAGGGGGCACTCCCAGACACAGACGGTCCACCGCTAGATGGCGACCCAACTTACGAGTCTTGTACACCTGCACAATACAGGGGAAAGGAAAACATTTTTTTAAAAATGTTTATATACAATTGCTTATAAATGAGGGAAACCAGACAAAATACCATGACTAAGGGAAAAAGAGATATATTTGCTGTTTAGACGAGAGCCACACATTGGGCTATAGTTAATGTTTTAAACAACACATTGGGCTATAGTTACTGTTTTATTGCCACACATTGGGCTATGGTTACTGTTTTATTGCCACACATTGGGCTATAGTTACTATTTTATTGCCACACATTGGGCTATAAATACTATTTTATTACCACACATTGGGCTATAGTTACTATTTTATTGCCACACATTGGGCTATAGTTACTATTTTATTGCCACACATTGGGCTATAGTTATTATTTTATTGCCACACATTGGGCTATAGTTACTATTTTATTGCCACACATCGGGCTATAGCTGCTGTTTTATTGCCACACATTGGGCTGTAGTTACTGTTTTTCTCAAAGCCACACACGAGGGTCGGTAACACAATGACCACAAACCTTGGTCAAGTTGTCCAGGACCAGCGTGTCGTATTTGCCGTTTCCTCGGGTCACGCGGCGACGCTCTATCGCAACATCGTTGTCTTCTCCCACTTGGGGGGTCTGGGACACTCGGCTTTGTCTGAGGAGGTGTGGGGTCGAGTCTTTTGAGTTCGGAGTTAAGGAAAAGCCCATCTACACAACAACTATAACCATCATTTAACGCAAGGATGAAGAAAGATTATAAACGAACAAAAATAAAAGAGAGAAAGTAAAGAAGTAGGCCCTACAAGCCGCTACCTCAGAATCACAAAGTCCTATCTGGCATTTTGGCCGTTTCGAGTTACTGAGACAATGAGGTCAAAAACCAAATGTTCTATCTACTCTATCAAAATTGTAAGATTATTCAGAGTCGTTATCAGGATTTATTCAAAAGAATTGCATTTGAAAAAGTTTGACATGATGTGAAACTCAAAATCTTTGAGGTCAAATTTCTCAAAAATAGGTACTGAGCAAATAGAACTTTGTAATTCTAGGGTAGCGAAGTGGTGCCGTCCAATACCTGCAGGTTAGAGTCTGGAAACTATGCTTAAAAAGGAAGAACTGAATCAAAGCAGTACAGTTTGTGACTAAATATTTTAAATAAAGTAGTAAAAGGTTAAGATCCTACTAGTTATCTAAAAGGGAAAAACAGACTTGTACAAATAACAGATGGGAAGAGAAAAAGTAAGACCCACAAGCAGCACCCTCCAACCACCCACACTGACAGACAGATATAACAGGAAGAAAGTATAGAAGTAAAGTCTTCCGGTAATGTAGTCCGATAAACACAAGCCATTCTGTTCCAAAGCCCTATTTGGCATAGTATTTTTACAGCACTTGCAACTCAATAAGGAATTATAAGTGCTGGAGATTAGAAATGTTACAAGAGAGTGACAAACACAAAAAAAGGAGGAGGAGAAATAAGGACACTAGATGTTTGATTAGAAAGAAGGAACAAACTACACCAGAGCATCTGTCAACCATCCCCCACTCAAAGCCCTTTGAATACACATATAAACTGACAAGATCTAAAAGACAGAACACAAAAGCCTTACCTTGGGCGAATAAAGAAGCGATATTCACACATGAGGGTCAGGCAGAAAAACAACAGCCCTACACAGGCCATGGCAACCAGATGGCAGGGGATCAAATCCCATTCCATGGCTGACTTCATCTTGTCCATTTGACCTGTGATACAGCACACACACAGAGATGTAAACTTTATTACTACAGCTAACTGTATGGCTACAACACTATAAGATTATTTAAGAGGCAGGGACTCCAAATTCAACGTTTATCTCTAATGGGATCGAATCAAGTCTGTGGTGAGCTTTAAAAACTACCTCAAATTGTGTTAGTAAGAGTTTTATCGCACTTGCAACAAGTGTCGGAGATTGGACATTTGACATGAGAGTAACATACAAAAAAAGAAGGAGGAGAGATCAGGACATTAGATGTTTAATTGGAAAGAAGGAGCAAACCACATAAGTGCACATGCCAAACACCCACAACTCTCCCAAATAACTTAAGTTCAAGAACGCCCCATTGGGAATTCAAATCAGGGCTGCCCACATCATAACCAAGCAAGACACCAATTTAGCTACCGGTTCACTCACTACCACTTTTGTCTGTTAGTCAGTCAGTCAGTCTGTTAGCCATCTGTCTGTGTCTGACCATACATAAAGCTAGTCTTGACTCAAATTTATCTAATTCATCGTGTACATAGTCCCGTGTTTGTCATAACACCAAACATTCCACACACCCGTCATGGACCTCCTCAGGGCACCCTCCAACCACCCATCAAAAAGGCAAACAGGCACATGAACACACAAACAAGCAGAAATAAGAGTTTTTTATTTTTAGTTTTAGTAGAGGTTTTACGGCGCTTGCAACTGCATAAGGTCATATGAGCGCCAGAAGATTAGAGGTGTTACAAGAGAGTAACCAACATAAAAAAGAAAAAGGGGGGATAAGGACGATAGATGTTTCATAGGAAAGAAGAAGCATACCACACCAGAGCACCCACCAACCACCCACAGAAATAAGAGTTATCAAAATGACCAGGAGACAAGTGAGCACACAAACAAGCAGAAATGAGAGTCATCAAACTGCCAAACAGACAAGTGAACACATGAACTAGCAAAAACGAGTTACCTGTCCTACACCCACCCTCCAACCATCCACAAAACTGACAAACAAATAAAAGAACAGATAAGTGAACGAAAAAACAATGAGAAAAGTTAGTGACCTGTTTTGAAGTAGTACTCATTCTGGTATTCGTTAAAGGCCAGCTCCATGAGACCTCGGCCCAGGCAGTAGTTGGGGAACATCATGAACACCACCTTAAGGACTTTGTGAACACGCTCTAGGTCCTGGAGGGAGAGAGAAGATAAGACAAAATAGATGAAATAATATAAGAGGCATACACAAAAAAAAATAAGACTAGCTAAGAAAAGATAAGATTGCACTGAAAACTTAAGGCTTGACAAGACTAGACCTAATAAAACAAGATAAAACAAATTAAAATCAGAAAAACCTGACAGTGATTAAAAAGACAGGATAAAAACCTAACGATGGTGTGAAAGACGAGATAAAAACCTGTCAATGGCTAGAATGAAAGATAAGATAATACAAACTACAAAATGATACGACACATTATAAAAGCAAAAGTTATGATCATACACCACAAACTAAACCCAGAACAAACGTTTTAATAGTCTTAAATGATCAGAGAAGAGGATCTCTAGGAGAAAGCAACAGACAAGATAAAATAAGATAATAACATGACAAGACTGGACAAGATAAGACAGAACAAGATAAAAAACAGACTAGATAAGACAAGATAAGATACAAGAAAATATGATAAGTTAAGGACAGAACAAGATTTTTAAAACTAGATAAGACAAAACAAGATACAGGAAAATAATATGATAAGTTATGAAGCCTAAATCATACACCATGAAGAAATTGAAGCTAATCTAAGGAAAAAATATTTCAACTCTCTTACATGATCGTAGGAGAAGATCTCCAGTAGGAAGCTGCAGACAATACAGGTGATGCCCGTGAACAGGTTGATGACGATGAGGGCGATGTACGCTGTGCTGGGCTCCTTGAACCAGAATGAGGCTGGGTACATCACCGGTGTCATGGACCATCTGAGATAGAAATAGTTTTACTGTAAGTATATTTATCATCTCTGTATTAGACCATCTGAGATAGAAGTAGTTTTACTGTAAGTATATATATCATCTCTGTATTAGACCATCGGAGAAAGAAATAGATTTACTGTAAGTGTATCATCTCTGTATAAGACCATCGGAGAAAGAAATAGATTTACTGTAAGTATATTTATCATCTCTGTATTAGACCATCTGAGATAGAAATAGATTTACTGTAAGTATATCATCTCTGTATTAGACCATCGGAGAAAGAAATAGATTTACTGTAAGTATATTTATCATCTCTGTATTAGACCATCTGAGAAAGAAATAGATTTACTGTAAGTGTATCATCTCTGTATAAGACCATCTGAGATAGAAATAGATTTACTGTAGCAAATAAATCACTTGTGTCATACATCATGTAAGATAGATATTAGATATAGTTTAGTGAATACATCACTGGTATCTCAGACCATCTGAGATAGAAATAGATTTACTGAAGAGTATAACTCACTTGTGCTATTGACCATGGGAGTGAGTGTGTGTGTGTGTGTGTGTGTGTGTGTGTGTGTGTTTGTGAGTGTGTGTGTGTGTGTACGTGTGTGTGTGTGTGTGTGTGTGTGTACATGTGTGTACAGGTGTGTGTGTGTGTGTGTGTGTGTGTGTGTGTGTGTGTGTGTGTGTGTGTGTGTGTGTGTGTGTGTGTGTGTGTGAGTGTGTCTATGTGTGTGTGTGTATGCTTACATATGTTCATGTGTGTGAGTGAGTCGGTCAGTCAAGTCAGTGAGCAAGCAAGAGTGTGTGTGTGTCTGTGCGCATGAGTGTGTGTCTGTGTGCCTGTGCGCATGTGTGCCTGTGCGCATGTGTGCCTGTGCGCATGTGTGTGTGTCTGTGTGCATGTGTGTGTGTGTGTCTGTGTGCATGTGTGCGAGTAAGTGAAAGACGGAAGGTGGATGTGTCTGGATATGAATCTGTGTGTGAGAGAGTGTGTTTATTTTAGGGAGTTAGAGCTGCTTAGACACACTCTAGATCATTTAAGAGGTCGGCTGCTCTGACTCTCCTTGCCGGGGCCGACTTCCAAGCCCAGTTTAGAGGGGTACAACATCCCAGCAGGAAGACTTACCCATACATGAGGAAGAGAGCAACCACAGCGGGAAGGTTACCAGCAGACACGTAGGCCGGGATTTGGAAGATGAGCAGAATCATGACACACATGAAGGCGGGGATCACGTAGTTTGCCTGGGGACAAAATAGAACTAGGTTTGTTTGGGGGTTCTTTTTGTTTGTTTGTATGAGGAAAAAATGCACATCCACACAATAATAGTCATTAAATGCACGGATCACATAGTATGCATGGAGACAAAACAGAACTGTGTTTGTTTGGGGGGGGGGTTGTTTGTTTGTTTGTATGAGGAAAGAAATGTACATCCACAAAATAATGGTCTTTTCGTGCAGAAGTAAAGTGAGACAAACAGACAGACAGACAGACAGACAGACAGACAGACAAAAACAACAGAGCAAAAGAAAAGAATTGAAATCTACCAGTGTCTCCCTCCACCCACAGCATAAAAGGATTCTTTTGTTTACTAGAAATACCAAAAACATGATTTTACACCCCCACTGATCCAAATGAAATCATTTATGAGGAGGGCTTCTTTGACTCTGTCTATCAGGGCCAACACTAGTTGAATGGGGTACGAAATCTCAGGAGACAGGTGGAGATATTTGATAAAAACTAATCTGACAGAAGAGTGCTATCGCGTCACTATCTGTAAGTAATCACCAAAAAAAGACAATTACATACAGGGAAAGGTAATTTCAAAGAAATTCTCATTAACAAAGATGCTGCAGTTGAAAGTAAGAATTGTGAGAAAAAAAAACCCCGTCCATCCCCCCCTCCCCCCACCCCAAGCAAAGAAAAAAACTCCATCCCCACAATACAAAAACCGTTGCAGAAAAAGAACTTCAAAAACCAAACAAAACGACATTACACAACCTCCTAAAACTTGAAGAAGAAGAAGAAGAAAGAAAAAGAGGCTGGCTGCTGTACCATGTCCCAGGTGTAGTTTCCGATCCAGTACATGACCGGGTTCATGCCGGTGACAAACTGCAGGTGCTTGGCCTTGGTAGATTTCTCGTACACCAGGAACACCACGAAGCTGGCCGGCACAAACGACATGGCCGCGATGATGAAGATGGAGATCAGCACGTCCGAGCCCTCCAAGCTGGGGAAATATGGGAAATTCATATATCAAGAGCAGATGCAGAAATGAACTTATCTGAAAATTACAAGATGTAATAACACAATTGCCCACACATTTTTAGTATTGTTTTCAGAAAAAAAATTTTTTTAACGCTGACATAAGTGATATCACTCGATAATTGGATTTCTAGATCATGATACAAAACCCTGCTATTATGAGGATGAGAAACAAATATAAAGCATTTTTACCAAACCAGCAACTAAAAACAACAACAAAAATGACCTATGCTACTGTGTTATGATCACACCCATGTACTTTGAAATTTAAAAAAATAATTTTAATTCCCCTGCAACAGCAACAAAAAAGACTTACGCTACTGTGTTATGATCATGACCATGTACTTTAAACTGAACCCCCCCCTCATAACAAAAGCTATAGATTGCGGTACAAACAAGAACAAGAAACTTGAAAAAAGAAAATCTCTAAAATGTGCTACTGACATGTAGTCGAGGGAGGAGAGCTGGCTGTTAGTGTCGTTCCAGGGGTGGTTGTACAGCGTGATGCCGTAGGCTGCTGGGTTGCCTTTAGACGCCGGCATGTTGGCCCGGAGGATGGCGTTGTTCAGCGCGTTCAGGAACACTCCCATAGAGTGGTAGCCTTTGTGGTTGAACCACATCTGGGGAGAGAGAGAGAGAGAAGGAATAATAAGTTGAATCACAGCAGTTGATTGTTTGTGCTACTGTGATATTTTGTGATGTTGTGTGTGTGAGTGTGTGTGTGTGCTTGTGTGTGTGTGTGCCTATGTGTGTGTGAGTGTGCCATGTGTGTGTGTGTGTGTGTGTG